GACCTGAGGAGCGCGGGTGTGGGGAGAGGCCCCGGCCTGAGGAGGCCGCGCCCTTTCCTGGGCAGGGTCCCCAGGGAGCCGCGCGCGTCTGCGGCAGAGAGGAAAAGCTTCAAAGCGTGTTCGTTTGCGCAGCTCCCGCGCTCGGAAAGCCCAGGGAGGTGGTGGAGTCACCGTCACTGGAAGTGTTCAAAAAACGTGTGAACGTGGCGCTTCAGGACATGGTCGAGTGGGCTTGGTGGTGTTGGGTTGGTCGTTGGACTTGATGATCTTAAAGGTCTTCTCCAACCTTAATGATTCTGTGTAAAAATAAAAGCGCCTGTGTGCCAGCGCAGGAGTGACGGGCCCTGTGCCGGGCTGCTCCTCTTCTGAAAGACAAACAGTCTGTGTCGCCGAGCAGAGCAGTATTAAAATAAAAATAAAAGACTCATAACTCCAGCTGGATGCAAAAGGAGATACAAAACCTAAAGCAATTATTGTCCCACGTTCAGCTTTTATTAGGTTAAGCATTCGTAGAGGAACACTACAGATAAAACGTTCCTGGAAGAAAACACAGAGCAGCGTCTGGTGACGCTGCAGACGTGACTGCAGGTGCTGTTAACACAATCTCTGGTTTAACAAACTGGCTTCCATGCACGCGCAGGAAGGCTGTTGTGGATCTCACTTATCGCAGGGTTTGCAAACAGAAATGTTCTTCATCAGGCAGCAGCAGAACGCAGAAGTCCCTCTGAAACAGCAGCTGTACTGTGTGCAGCTTGGACTTCGTGAGATGCCTACACTAATTTAATTAATGGGAGCGGAAGGAATATTAATGTTGATTCTAGAGTAAAGTGCCCTTTTCGCCGCAGAATTTCAGTCTCAACGTGAGCCATGCAACCTGCGGCCGCTCTCTGCACGGAGAACGAGTCCAATGCCTGGCTAGTGGCAGCACGGAAGCCCAGCCTAGGAAAAAGATGACATTCTGGTGTTAAAATTAGATTTTGCCTGTTTTCACACTGATTGTCTAGAGATTACATCATAACTCAGGGAGGGAGGAGAGGATTTCTGGGAAATGCATTGTTTCAAAGCCGGAATTATCTAAAACCATCTTTAAAAAAAAAAAAGCTAATGTTTACAGGTGCCATTTTGTAGTCAAAGCTGATTATGCTCAGAGTGCTGCTAACAGTAAAAATTAACTGTTATCTGCAATAGATTCAGCATAGAAAGTAGATTCACCTGTAAGTAAAAATGGCATTGCAGTAAGTGTAAAAGCAAGCAAAAAACCCCAAAGGCCCAGTTCAGCATCCTTTTCTTATGCTAGTGCAGTTAAGGTAGTTTTTTAGAGAGCAAGCTCTCTTACAATCCTTAAAAAAAATCAAGTTTATGTCAGCAGCAAGGCATAGCCTGAGAGTCTGACCCGTGAATGCCATCTATTCAGATGACGGAGAAGGAAACACACACATCGAGCATGGTGTCTAGAACATTATCTGGATTCAATTCTATGGATTTCAGGGAAGGTGTGTGAAATTTATGGTGTGTCTCTATGATGTCAGAAAGAAAAATAGTATGTTTAAAAAACAAACCCAGTATGTTCAAAACAACGTCTTTTATTTAATCAGCAAGAGGAAGCATCTTACCAGAAGACTGAGCGGAGTTTTCTACCTGAATGACTATATTGGAACAACTCAAGTTTGCAGCTCTAACTGGTATTTCATGTTGAGCAATATAAAACCATACCTTCTATGGAAGACATGAACATTTCTGTTCAGTTATCTGGTTCAGAGGGTTTTGGTAACTGTAGTTTTCATATGTACGATAATAGCTAAGTGAAAAAGAAGAAAACAGTGAACTGTATTGGTTCATAAAAGAACACTCAGGTTGGTGTCCCCTAAGGAAGAGAGTCTTGAAATAAAAAATATAAGCACACCATTGATTCCAGGTTGCTGTGCCTTGTACAGTTTGCAAGCGTGAGCTGAAGATACAAAATTACAAGACCCAAGCACGTTCAGTCAAATATTCCAATTGTATAAAGTGTATAAAACTTGGGAATTGGCAACAAAGGACATGAAGGAACACCCAGAAGACTGCCTTACCCTTCCTTTTGCTTAGAAATAATTTTCCAGACAATGCCTGCCCCCAGGAGAAGCAGGACTCCTGCAGCTGCGGCTCCTGCGAGAGAAGAGCACGTATTATTCTCACTGTATGTTTTAAAGCATATCAGCACAAAAGACATAACAAGACATATCTTCAAAGTAGGCAGAGGGAAACAGTGCCACTGAGGCCACTGCAAAAAGTTAAAGGTCTGGCCACAAAAATATCTCTGAGCTGCTTACCTAGGCCTACTGGACCCGACTTGTGTGACTCTAAAGGGAAGAGAAAAAGAAAAATCAGCAAACTATTGTACCAAAATACGGTGTTTCTCAGCTGTAGTTAATCACTTTCTCGATAAAGCTTTTACTGCTAAGATCTACAATACAGGATTTCTTAAAAAACACACCATTATATATATATTTTTTTTTTCCATACAGAGAGACATTTGCATATTTAAAAGGCATTTGCATGTTTCTGTTTGAAACATTTCATTTCCATTTCACTCACTCAGTTTACAGGCTGGTACAGGAGGGTCCCAGCTGAAGTCCTCTTGGCACTGAATCTGACTGATGCCTTCCAACATGTAACCGTCATCACATTCAAGAGTGATGTTAGTCCCAGAGCGATAAGTATTTCCTTTGATGGCTTTCTTAACACCTTGAACTTCTGGGAATACACATCTGATCTCTGAAATTAGAAGTAACAAAAAAAGGACATTTAATGAGAAGGAACATCAAATACAAGAAATACAACTGTGGGTTATTTAAGACATTGTTCTTGAATTCTTTCTGAATGTAACCAGGAATTAATTCTTATTCCAGAGGGCAATTCCTTTCTTTGTGGCTGCAGAACAGGGTAGGTGTTTCACTCCCACGTGTGAATATTGGTACAGATCAGCTGCTCCACACCAATACCGCACGTGGAAAGTTGTGTGTAGCAGGGGTACTTTGGGAGAAGCCTGCCAGAGAAAGAGATTTTTCTGATACCGGGCTACCAAAACATTTGGAGAAGAAAGGTGTAGCAGGGAAGAATACAGTTGAAGCTTTAAAGCCAGCTGCCTATAACCCAATTCTAGTCTGTAGAAGTTCCTTGCCCCTCAAAGACGTCACCAGCCTTATTATTTATCAATAATTGATTTATTAATTAGTCCAGCCATCTAAGCTATTTATATCACTGATTTCAATGAAGTGAGTTAGTGGCTTCAATTTAAGTGTCTAATCACCTTTGACAGTCCAAGCCCAAGAATTCTGGAGGAGAAGGTTCTCAGTGGAGACCCAAGGGTTAATATCAACATGTAACTTTTAACCTTTGTTTTATGTCTTTTTTTTAATATTTATTTTTACTATCACATGCAATAGTTACTAAGGACACTTCATAACCACGAGAATGTGGAATGGCAGGGAGAATTTTTCAGTGAGACGGCTTCCTTTAAAGAGGCTCTGGCTTATTTATATAAGCATTTGATTTTTCATCAAGCAGTAAAGTTATCCAAGCATGTTTCAATTCTTGAGTCACTGAGGTGGGTGCAACTCCACCAAGGAAGCGCCCTGTGTGGGGAATGAATTTATTCCAGTGAATGTCCAGGCTTCTGTGCAGGAACACCCACACTAGGAATCTTGTGACATTCATGAAATTTCCTTTAGTCAAGTTTGCCTGATGACTGACCTCTGCAGTGAGACACAGAAGTGCCAAGTCACAGATAGAGAGGCATTTTCCGAGAAGGGAATAGTCAGACTCACGTGTAATGTACAAAACCGTCCATCAGAGACAACTTCTCCGATATAACCCCTTCCTTTGCTTCCTGTTAGTGATAATTGGGGCATGAGAGACACAAAAAGGGAAGGAAAGGGAAGGGGAAAAGTTTCTCTCTTCTACTAAAAGTGAAAAGCTTTTAATGGAGGGAAGTTGGCATACAACTCATTCATAGCAACAAGAGCAGAGATGGAAAAACATGCAAGGATTAAAACTGCCTTTAAGAATTGCCTCTCTTGTACTTATATCCTTCTGACTGCTAGTGTGAGGTTCCCATCCTGCTTCTTTACAACAATATCACACTCTTCCTGGGTATAACAAAGAGTGGATAAATTCGTAATTAACAGATCAACACCACCTAGCTATGATATGGAAGTGGTTCCCAAGAAAAATGAGGGGATGGAATTCGATGTTAGCTGCAGAGGATTTTACTGCTTAGATTGTGGCACATCTACCTCTCTGAAGATTTAATTTTTTTCCCCAAAGTAAAACACCTATGTCAGCATGGTTGCATGTCTTCTCAGGCCATTTCTGGGAGATGTCTGCCACCATGAATTCCAAACAGCATAAGCAAACCAAGCACAAACACACCTTTGCACTGAGGAGAAGGCTGGCTCCAGGTTCCTGACACCGTGCAGTTGATGAAAGCGTTCCCAACGAGTGAATACCCAGGATTGCAGCTGTAGGATACAGATGCCCCATAGGAAAAAGTGTCAGAGATGTTGCCTTTGAGCTTCCCATTGGTTATGTTTGGAGGATGGAAACACTGCACATCTGGAAAGGAGAGACAATTGACAATGTTGACATGAGGATCCTGATGGACTGCCAGAGAGTAGCTAAGGCACCATAGCTTTGCAGCCTTGACTGTTCCCTTTTAATTTCTTCACCTAGGCTCAACAACTGATTTTATAACCCTGTAACTCCATCAGTAAGTGGGTATAAACTTGATCTTGTTCTTACCACTCATTCAGTAGTAAAGGACTCAGATTTAGTCCTTATACAAAGCTTTCCTTAAGGCAAGTCATGTTGTCACGAACACACACCTTGACAGACTGGAGGAGGATGGCTCCAGGCTCCAGATTGTGTGCAATAAATTGTTGCTGTCCCAATGAGAGAGAAGCCAGGCTCACAAATGTAGCTTACAGATGTTCCAGGAGTGAAAAACACTTTTGCTGGGCCCTTGAGAGACCCATGGGTGATACCTGCAGGCTTGGAACAGTGCAGCACTAAAAAGAGAGAAGTGCAGATCAAAACAAAGTTCATACAGGCAAGAGGGGAAACTTTTGAGCACCTGTGGATGGCTGTACGCTCACTCGCACAGCACTGAATCCAACACACGGAGCCTGCCCTGCCCAACCCTCTGCACTCACTTCACCCCAAATCATCTACAAAGCATATGGCATCACACATTTCTTCTGACACAAAGGAACATTGCCCAGCAGCATCTTTCCTGGTATATCAAATGAGTGATTAGTTCATATATATAACGAGAATCCCACACTTGTGAGACCATCTTATTACCACACCCGTACATGTTCTTACGGCTGGCGAAGCTGGCCTAAGCTCATTTTTAAGGCGTTCATAGTGAGAAACTGAGGCACCAGATACTGCAGCAATGAGAAATTATGATCTTCAGATCTAAACACCAGACTCCAGATTCTTCTCACCTTCTAAACATGTTGCAACACACCACCAAGAGTGATAAGGTCAGAAAGGATAGCCACGGACATATAACACATACTTTCCTCTTTCATAGACAGGGAGTGGAGGATCCCATGTGCCCCCAGGCTGGCACTGGGACATGTGGAGGTCTTTTTGGACATTAGCAGTGTTGCATTCAATTGTACTGATGTCTCCAGGCTTATAGAGGGATTCCTAATCTGGTTGCTTTTCCATTCACAACTCCCACAGCCAACTGTGGACAGCAAGGCTATGGAGAACCCTTTAGACTGTGAAACTTGTGCAGGATAGAGAAGAGCATTTGGCCACAGAGACCTCATTCTTGGCCACAGAGAACTCATTCTTTCTTTAGTGGTGGAGTTTGTTGAAGCAACAACTTGTTTCAGAGGGTCCTTAGCCAAATACCACTACAAGTTTAACACATTTAGAAAGTTGAGAAGATTCAGTGAAAAGAGCACAAACACACCTTCGCACCAAGGAAGGGGATGGCTCCAGACTCCGTATGTTGTACAACGAATAGACTTATTCCCAATGAGGGAGAAGCCATGTTTGCAGCGGTAGTGCACAAGTGTTCCTACGTCAAAACTGTCTGAGAAATTACTGCTGTGTTCTCCATTAGCAATGGTTGGAGGAGGCAGACACTTCACTACTGAAAGAGGAGAGGGAGAAGGTGATTTAAATTGTAAAAAAAGTAATGAGAGCAAAAAAGTGCTATTAACCTTCTTCACTGCAAAAAGCAGGACAGGTTAGGAGGAGGAGTTAGCATTTAGTAAATCTTGCCTCTTATAATAGACCTACCTGGCTTTGTTGTGGTATCAGGATGATGATAGTGTTCTGCCACTCCATCTAGATGCAGCATTAAGAGTTTAAAATACACATTTGGTTGAGCAAATACAATGCACAAATTTACCTTAATTTTTCATCATCCTGCCTTTATATTTCCAGAAAAAATTTCAGTCCTCTCTGCTAGTCAGTGTCCTGCCATGAAGCTACCAAAGTTCTCACTTTCAGGAGATGAAGAAAACACGGGTTATGGATTGCAACAAGCAGGGTGAGAAAAGTGCAAATCGTGCTTATAGTTACAGCATTACCCAAAACCTGGCTTATCTCCCGTGTGAGAAGAGAGGCATATATAAAAGGAACAATTTTTGGTTTCTCCTTAAAGTAGTTGGAGCAAACAGGAAGAATAAAGCCAGCTTTGTTTCAGTGAGTAGGTAGGAGCCATCAGGGAGGAATCTGCGATGCTAACAAGTCAGAGTACTGACACTTACCCTGCTCACAGACTGGTACAGGTGGATCCCATGTTTTATCAGCTTGGCACTGCGCTGTGCGATGGCCTCGCAAGGTGAAACCTTTATGGCACTTAAAGCTAACAGTATCTTTGTATGTGTAGCGATACTTAAGAACAGATACTCTCCCATTCTGGATCTGTGGGACTGGACATACCACCTCTGAAAAATAAATTCATTATCTCAAAGAGGGAGCCATGTGTATGCTGTAATTGATGCATATATAAAGTCCATCCTTAACATGCCACTGCTCAGAGGAGTTTCACAGTTAGTGCTTGGAGACTCACAGAAGAATAATTTCAAGAAATGAGGGCTTTTTAGTTCCTATAAGTACCCTAGGTTTACCAATTATTATCTATAAACAGAATAATGCTAATGCATTCAAAGTAAATATATTAAATGGTGTGGAAATTCAGAAGTGCAGTTAGTCATTCTCAAGATTGCTTTATTATACCAAGCTCATGCCTTCCAAAGCAATTCCATCTGAAGGAAAGACTAATTGCAATGGTCAACCTCTGCAAAACAGCCTTGTCGTTTGGATAACAGTACAGTATTTTGAAGATCCCAGTTCAATTTTACTCGATATCTCACTCTTCTACTGCAAGACACATTTCTTCCTTAATTTATTATTCACATTTGTGAAACAAAAGTTACAAATCCCTGCAGGCATCTCACAACTCTTCATTCCACAGAATTCCAAAAGATCAAAAGCTAGCATCTGGAAGATTTGTAGAAGAAACCAAACAAGCAAGCAAAACAAAGCAATTGCAGACAAATACCAGGCTTTAAAAGTCTTATTCTATTTATTTTAAGGAAATGCCACTTTTTAATTTTAAGGACTTACTTAATTTGGCAATTCTGGGCCAGATCTAGTTGTGACCTACTTACTCTGACAAATGGGAAGAACACCATTCCATGTGACATCGGCTCCAAAAATCTCACATCGCCTATAAGACTGTCCAACCAGTCGGTGCCTGGAGTTACACAGAAAGAAACATCAGTTGATACCAAGTCATTCAGCTTGGATTTTGCCTCCCACTCTGACACTACCCCCAGAGGTTTCCTTCTGCAGCCTCATGCTTCTGGCTGGTCACTGAGGTGTGTCTGTTGGTTTGACACATGGGAATGAAGGACACCAATTTCCTTCTTCCCAGATGCAAGAGGAGCAGCAATGATCCCAAATTACTGTGGATTAGATTGGTCAGGTGCTAAACCAGGGCTCAGACCCAAGTGATTTGCAGACTGCCGGAGCCTCCTCGTAGCATATGCTCGCTTGCCCTCTCAGCTCCTGCTTGGGTGGCCATCTGAGAAGGCAGACCAAAACTGAAGTTTGCGAAGTCATATATTGAGCACAGGCAGGGAAAAAATGGAGACACTTCACCCTTTCCAGAGCAGGCAACCCTGGTGTGACTGGAACCAAAATACAAATTCTGGCTTGCTCTGCGGGAACGGCCCGCGCAGAGGAATGGGCTCTCACCCTTCACTGTAAGTTGCCCAACACTGAGCTCAGAAAATGGAGTCAATAAAGGCAGTGTAGGACTCACCCTTCTTCACACATATGGCTCACAGTTGACCCAAAAAGGAGATCTGTCAGAACAACAACTCTGCCATTCTTTGGTGCTTCTGGGTATTTACACTGTTTCCCTGGGAAAGAACAAGGCTGAGTTTAAACTCCTCTCTTGCAGTTTTGTAATGCACTACGAGAGGGTATCTTAAGGATCTGTCCACATTCAGACACCAATAAAGATGTGATTTTTAGAAGGCCAATAGCTGCCCAAACTGTGTGACTAGTGAAGCCATGTATGAATCATTTTTTAAAGAATTGCTTTAAGAAACCCACAAATATAGCTTAGACAATTTTCAACAACCAAAACCAAACTGATTGAGCTATTCACTTTTACAGAACGCTAGCGCTTCAGACCACGTGTGGTTTTTGAGGCATGTCAGAGCTGGGGGTACTGCGGGGTGTCTCATATATCCCGGCCGGCAGCCGTATCGCACAGTGTCCCCAACAGGAAACTGCGTCAGATTTTTGTATTCCTCAGTTAACTCAGCAAATGTTAATTTTGGAGGTGCACCACAGCCACCTATCAGGAAAGAAAACAGGGGAAAATAGGGTTATCAACTACACAAAGATGTTTTATCAAAGTTCACAAGCAAAACTGAAAACAAAGGGGAAGGACTGAAGGATTCAAAATTTCAGAAAGCGTAGGGGAAAGAACGAGTCCTACAGGCTTTCAGTGGCAGAAATTCCCAGACTATCCATAACTTCTGTCTTGGAACCACAGTGTACCTGTACACCGAGGAAGAGGGAGGCTCCAGTTTCCAGAATCGGTGCAGTAAATCGCTGCCTCTCCCAGCAGGCTGTAGCCAGGGTCACAGCTGTAATTTACAACCATCCCAGTAGTGAAAACCTCCAAGTCCTGGCTGTTGTGATTTCCTTTGTCAATGTTTGGAGGTGAAGGACATTGCACCACTAAAGAGAGAGGACAAAAGAAAATGAAAAAAGAGCATGGGCAGGGTGACACGCAGGACGGCTGCATGCCCAGAGCCAACAGAGTGAACGCGGCGTCCTGCATGTGCTGGAAG